TTTGCGACAAATCCAAACTCATATGGATTGAACTTTCTTGATTTCTAACTTTATGGTAACACGAGTGCCCACCATGTCTTCTAAGTAGTTTAGCAACTTATCCTTACATATCAATGTACTTTCCATCGATCAAGGCCCTTTGTCTTTATGCATTCAAATAATAACTCATAGAACTCACATACATAATTAACTCAATTGGAATGGTACAGAAACAAAATAATGTCAAGATGATAGGTTGTAAACCTCAAGTCATGTGCTAGTGATGATTAACTAGGTTTACTCTCAAATTTGTTCTTGAAACCTTTCAAGACCATTAAGGCTCCCACTTACTCCTTGACATATAAGATTCTCTTGTCAAGAAACGTTTCTTGATAAACAAATATTCAAGAGTTGGTGTAGCTTTTATCAAGACAAAACACTTCACAAAATTGGTCCTAGTTGGTCTTTATCTTATCCAAGACATCACAACTTTCCAATTTTAAATGTGCAAGAATTAGAAAACCTTTCCAAATTCCACATTTGATGAGTGTTATAAACCTACTTAAGACGTTTCACTCAAGTCACAATCTTAACTCTAAGACTTGATATTGGAACGAAGTATGATTAACTTCTTGATTTAACCATTTCTACAATTCTCGATTCTTCTTCTTAGACATGAAATTGCACTAAGACACACTTAGAGGATCAATTGAGACATGGTTCTTAATCATTAAGACCTATCATAAAACACAATAAAAGTTATTCTCCCTTCTTCTTAGAATAGAGAAACTTTTATCTTTCTACCTTCTTGATTCTTCTTATTCGTTTTTCCATTCATTAAAACCTTTTCAATTAACTTAGAGTTACACTTAATCTTATAAGTATAATCATATTTACTAAACTTTAGTAAATCATGACGAATATCTTTATCACTATTGTGGTGGACTTGATCGATGCACAACATTGTGAAATCGATCTCCTAGTCCTTCACTTGACTCTTTGTCAATGAATTAGTCTTGAATTTCCAATTGTAAAGTTTCTCATTCATCACACAACCAAGTTGTATGATTCCAAGTTTCTATCCAATTGAAACTTGGGCGATAAGAAACTCTCCCTATTTGGTAAATTATCGACATTTCCACGAATAACATAATTAAGAATCAAATCCATTATTGCTTATAGTAGAAACATTCAAACACCATTTTTTCATAAACGCCATTGTAAGGATAAATAAATAAGACAAAATCAAAATTTATTTTATTGCAGAAATTGTTTTTCCTTACAATGCAATTCAATTGAAAAACTATGTTATTACATAATTCTTAGCAATCTATTTTAACTCCAAGTAGTAGCTCAAGAATCCAATCATCAAGCAATGCGATCGAAATCCATTTCTTCATGATTAGATTCAACTCATTTCTTGCCTTAAGCTTCCTTTCTTTTCTTTGATCCTACAAAACATCAAAATGTAATCTTATCACATCATGTATTAAGAATCTAGAATAGCAACTTAAAAGAGTCAGATAATGGATTTTACCTGAAGTAGAGCCATACGTCTTGACTCTCCCATATCTTAGATCTATCAAGTAAAGAGGGCAGCTTCGTCTCCAATGCCCATTCTCTTGGAAATAAAAGAAAATAGACTCTTTTGGAATGACACAAGGTACTATCTCAGACTTTACCTTTTCTGGATCTCCAATGTCATCATTTTCAATGTCCATTGAAGTTTGGGAGTTTGATTCACCAGACAAATTTGCTTGACCAGCACGCCAAATCATTGCTGATTCAGTTACTATAAGCAAATAGGTGAGATCAATGAGGGTCACGTCGTTGTCCATCATATAGTACTCTTTAACGAACTCACTATATGATTCAGGAAGTGACTGAAGAACCCAGTCAACAACCAACTCACTTGAAATCTCAACACCCAACATGTTTAACCTATCAATGTGTGACTTCATCTCTAAGACGTGTGCAGACACAGACTTTACATCTTCGTGCATAATTGCCAATAGGGCTTGAGTGATCTTGAACTTTTCAAGCCTTCGAACTTGTGGGTTAGGGAGTGAAGCATGACTCTCATTTCCTTGATCGTATCTTGGAACATCATCTTCAACTGGAAAGCTTGTTCCAAAGGATTTGGGAAGACGATTGTAAGATTCAGACATCTACAAAATGGGAGAAAATTCAAGTTAAGTTGATTGAGTCGTTAATAAAACACCCAAATGGATTATTAAGGCTAGTATCCAACACAATACTCTACAGCCTAGAAGAGGGATGCCATAATCTATTTGCAGAATATTTGAAGGTAGGTAAATGACGATTTACCAATTTCCACCATGAAAAATGAAAGATAAATTTAAGTTTTAAATGAATTGAAACTCCTAGATCTTTTGAGATTCATTGAACTTTTCAATGACATGTTTAATCTCGATTATGCCCTTCAAGTTTGCCACTGGGATGCCAAGGATCACAAACAAGGTGTGAATAACCATACGAATCTACGTGGTGCACTCAATGCTACTATCACCCAATCAATGTGTCGGCTAGCCACACACGCTCCAATGATCTAAGACAAACATCGAGTCACCCTTCGCTACCAATGTCATCCCCAAATTAGTGTGCCGATTAACCACACACGCTCCACTAACATTTGACAAGGGTACGAAGTGTAATTCCATGGATTAGCATACAATTTCACATTTTGCCTAAAGCAACTATGATTTGGGAATTTATAAAAGCATTTATTTACTTTGTACTTCATTATACTTATAATGGAAGGTTTCTGTCCTATCTTACCCGTTCGGCTAACGATCCTCCACTAGTCAAGAGTACGGTGGGTAAGAGTGGATACCCATTCAATCGCCATTTTATAGACAATTTCCTTAAACACCCCTTATAGACCAGCTTCGTGAATGAGGCCTACTAACGGTAAGACTGATTGTTTACTCATACATATATATAATATTAGACTTTTAATGTTATATATAATATAGGGTGTATTTTACACTTTTTAAATACTAGGTGGTCAAATTTAATAAATTATAATTTTAATTTAATTAAATGTAAACCAAAACTTTATGGGTTTATTAAATCTCTTTTAATTATACACTTTAATTAATTAATAAAACCATAAGGGTGTGATTTGAACTTTTCAAATTACTAGGGTTTTAGAATTTAAAATTTCAAATTAAGACTTTTAATTAAATTAAAATTCAAAACTTGAGGGCAAGTTTTGAAACTTTTCAAAACATTAGGGTTTAATTTATTTAAATTTCAAAAACAAAACTTTTAAGTTCAAATTTAAACTATAAAACCTAAAGGAAGTAATTTGGAACTTTTTCACAAGATAATTCAAATCTAAATTACAAATAATCAATATTTATCTAATAAAACAAAAGATTATCTAAACTTGACAATTATCTTCAATTTTGGTAAGGATATTCACCCAAAATCAATAAAAATCGGATTTTATAAATTAAAGGAGTTTATGGTAAGTATCCCAAGCCAAAACAACAAGAAAATCGCTAAAAAACACTATCAGATCCATGGACTCGCCGAGTCAAGAACTGGACTCGCTGAGTCAACCTGACTTGCCAAGTTCATCCACTGACTCGCCGAGTCAGCAAGGCAGAGGACAAACAACTTTTTTTTTCATGCAATTTTTGATCAAGTAAGCATCAAAATCACTAACAAACAGCCCTAGGCTCTGATACCACTGATGGGTTTTGAGCAATACATCAATCCTATGTTGTACATGCAAACCCTAATAGCTTTTGGATCTAGTTTGTCTAATGACCATGAAATTGAATATCAAAAGCTATAAACCCTAGATTTAGCATACAATTAATCGTATTAACATAGAATAGGGTTTAGATCTTACCTTTGATTGTTATATAGCAATAACAATCAATCATTGGCTTCAGAAAGCTTAGTGCCTCAAGTGCTGCACCTCTATTGGAGTCACAAACACCACTAAGCAACTTGGATGAAGAGAGAAGAGAGGGGAGGCACCAAAAACGGCTGGAAACCCTAAAGGGAGTGTTAGCCACGTTTTTGGTGCCCAAGGGTTCCTTATATACTTAGGTAATTAGGGTTATCTAACAAGGAAACCCTAATTTGACTGCTTAAGCCCTAAGCAGCCCATGGACCCCTTCTGGAACATGCCTTGGATGATTTCTAATGGGCTTCCCCATAGAATTCGTCCAACCTATTATTCCAAGGTGATCCATAGCCCAATTGCAATTAACTTATAATTACAACTGCGGTCCCCTAAGTTTAATTAATCTCTTTTAGCCACAAAATTAATTCTTGACTAATATTAATTAAACATTATGATTTCTCCTTTAATATATTATTCTTATAATATATTAATAAATCATAATTAATCCTTTCTCTCCTTAATTCATCCTACATATTGCTATGGTGAAGGCAACCCAAAAGGACCATGCTCATAATCGGGTCAAGTACATACCAAAATAGTTATGGACATAGACACTAATCCAACAGGAGCTCCATCTAATAACTTTTAATTGCAATTTGACATATACTAGGTTGCACAAAAAGTAGTTTTTGAATAAATCTAAAGTCAAAATGGTTTTATAAGATCCAAAAGGTACGTTAAGTACCTCATGGCTTTGTCATAATACATCCGAACACTTGCCCCGGGTCTCCTTGTATGTATTGTCGGGAGAAAGAAGGACTTGATGATTATTCATTTGCCCTAACCAAAAGTAAAAATTTTGGTTGATTGGGATCACATAAAAACTTCATTCGATAAATGGGCTATACTAGGTCATTTCTTAAGAACATTAGCTAAAGACTCTAACACTACCACCTGGATTTGGAACCTACATATTGATGCTAATGATTTCGGTATCCATACCAGTGATTTGGAGGAGATCTCTCGAAAAGCATTTAGTGTGCATTTCAGTGAAATCTCCATCGTCTTCCTTTAGCTGAGTCACATGTATTTTAATGGTGCTTTTTTCCAATTATTAACCATGGCTAAGCGATGTGACTCACATTAGGCCTAGTGCTCGAGTGGTTTGGATGATAGTGTGCCAAGAAATATTAAATGGTGATGTGGGCCAGGGATTCCAGAAACCGATCCAACTTGCTAAACTTAGATGAGGAAATAAAACCAAAAGCCCCTTTGAAACCAGAAACCGATCCAACTTGCTAAACTTAGAACCCCACTTATCACTCCGCGTGAAACGAGGACCACCTAAAGCAATATCAAACAGATTCGCATCCTCAATAAACTGATTAAAAATCCTAGTTGAAGCAGGATGAAACTGAGACCCCATACATTCGGATTCATCACGGACTTCATTAAAATCTCCCATGAGAACAAACTCCCCCGAGCAAGAATTCATTAATTGACCAATCTCTCCCCACAATTGTCTTTTACTATCAGTCCCTTGCGGAGCATAAACTGAAACAAAAACAACCTCTACTCCAGATGAAACCCAAACACCCTCCACTGCTACAAACCAATCCGAGGAAATGACCCTTTTTTTTTATTAAACCTATTTTGATCCCAAATAACGAGAATACCCCCCAAATTGCCACGAGAAGGAGAATACGCATAACAACATGAAGCATTTCCCCAAAGAGAACGAACCACCAAAAAATCGATAAGCTCCATCTTCATTTCTTGAATAGGTAAAACATTAATTTTAAATCTATGACATAAGAATTTCACCGATCCCCTCTTATCAAAAGACCTTGCTCCTTGAATATTCAGAGACAAACAATTCATAAATTACTTTTTTTCCCCTCCCGATTCACCAATCTCGTGACTTGTTCCAAACATCCATCCATCTTAAAACCAATTTGATGACCCGTTTCAATTGTTTTTCTTATTTCCTCGGTGACCGAATTTTCACTATCATAGCAACCTGAACCCAAATTATAATCACCATTAAGCCTCTCAGAAAAACCTGGAGGATGTGACAATGAATCCTCCGAGACTTCAACCCCCGACATCCAAGCATACCCCCCCCCCTAAAAACCAATTGGAGCAACCTGTGAAACATTATTCAAGCGAGAAATAGCTTGAGAAATAACCGGGACCTGTACCAAATTCTGCCCATCAGAAGATTGCAACGACATATCATTAAGGTAATGTCACTGTAGCACATGGAACTTTTAACATTTGGCTAATTTGGTCCTTCAAGTTTTTTTTTGGTACATTAGACCTGTAAACTCGTAATTGACCTTTTAATTACACCATTTTAGCAACTTTTAGAAGGTTTCCCGGTTATACGATGCCATTTTGTCAATTAATATATATTTTTTGTCTAAGTCGATGCCACGTGAGATATGCCATGTCAATTAATGAAATACGACGCTTAAAGCCTGTCATCTTCAGCTATCGAACTTCACTAGTCTTCGTCTTCATTATTCAGCTATAAAAGAAACTGATTTAGGGTTTGTGAAGCATTCCTGTGATCGAGCTGAAAGAAACAAAGAACTCGCAGCAATGGCACAATCGGAACCTAATGGACTGTTTGCGATGGTGGAACTCAACTACCAAGGGGTATTTAATCGAAATCCTTTCTCTTACACTGGTGGTGTTAAAACCATATTCAATGATGTTGAATTTTCTTCTATGACTTATTCTGAGTTTGTGACCTTCTGCGAACGTTTCATGCATGAAGAGTGTAAAAAGTTTTACTACTGTGAACCAGACATGTCCTTCATGGAAGGGCTTAATCCCATTTCAGATGATGTGGAATATTCTGCTTTTATTTTTGATGCTTATGGAACAGATGGTGTAATTTCAGTTTATGTGGATCATATTGGGGTTGGTGTTGATGGGTGGCATGATGATGAAGATAATGATGATGATGAACATGAGTCTTGTATTGATGGTGAAAATGAAGAGAACATAGATGAACTTAGAAATGTTGCCCTTGAATTTAATGAGGATGTAATACATATGAATAGGACATCAAATGATCCTTCCTTGAGTAAGCTATGTGTTGATGATGAGGATGCAAACAACATTGTAGATGATGACAATGGGAGAGAAGTTGAAGTTAACATACAAACTCATTCCATATTTAATGAGCTATTACACTGGAAAAAACAAAAACCAATTCTAGGGATGAGATTTAAGGGTCCAGGGCAAGTAAAATCAATGTTGTGTAACTATTCTGTAGCTAATGGATATCAATTGTGTTTTGAAAAAAATGATAGGACAAGACTTTTGGTGAGGTGTAGAAAAGGTGCTTGCACATTTAGATTACGGGCTTCCTGGATGAGTGATGAAGAGAGTTTCCAAATCAAGTCACTAAAAGCTTATCATAATTGTGCTAGGAACTTCAAGTTTGGATCATTGGTGACATATGCATGGATTGGGAGTCACTATACCAAAGAGATTGTAGAAAGTCAGAAAATAAGTGTAAGGAAGCTTAGGTTAAAGGTAATGGCCAAGTTTGGTATCCAAGTTTGTATGGGGCAATGTAGAAGAGAAAAGAAGTATGCACTGAAACTTGTTGAAGGTAACCTTGTTGAACATTATGGTAAGCTATGGTCATATGGTCATGAGATTTCGAGGACAAATCCTGGGTCAACTGTGAAACTAGATATGGAGGATGGTCCAGATGGAAAGAAATATTTTAGCAAGTTCTATTGTTGTTTTCAAGTAGTTAAACAAGGTTGGATTCAAGGGTGTAGAAGGGTAATTGGTCTTGATGGATGTTTTCTTAAAGGTGTTTGTAAGGGAGAATTGCTTTGTGCTATTGGGAGGGATGCAAATGACAAGATATATCCTATTGCTTGGGCAGTGGTTAATGTGGAGAACAAGCAGAATTGGAAGTGGTTTCTAGAGCTTCTCATTGATGACCTACACTTGAACTTAGGCAATAGTTTCAGTTTAATGTCAGACCAACATAAGGTTAGTATTTTACATAATAATGCATTTATGTTAATTTTAGACTATCTGAATTAAACCTTTCTACTACTACAGGGCTTGATAGAGGCTGTTAAAGAGTTGCTATCATATGTAGAGCACAGGCAGTGTGCTAGACATATTTGCCAGAATTTGCAGAAGAGATTTACTAGTGCCATATATCATACCTTGTTTTGGAGAGCATCTAAAGCCACAACTGAGCATGCTTTTAATGTTGTGATGAAAGAAATTGAGACATTGAACCCAGATGCCCATCAATATCTCATGGAGAAAGATCCTAAAACATGGTCTAGAGCTTTCTTTCAAACTGGAAGGTGTTGTGATGCAGTTGAAAATGGGTTCTCAGAAAGTTTTAATGCTGTAATAGTAGATGCTAGGAAGAAGCCCATAATAACCATGTTAGAGGAGATAAGATTATACATGATGGACAGAATCTACAACATGAAATTAAAGGGACAACAATGGGGAAATCATATTTGTCCAGAGATAAGGGATAAGGTGAATTTGCTTAAAAAATCTCAAAGGCATTATCAGGTACTACCAAGTGGATTAAACCAGTTTGAGTTAAGGGGAGCAATAGATGCATATGAGGTGGACTTAGAAAGAAAAACATGCTCATGTAGGTTGTGGAAATTGAATGGATATGGATGTGCTCATTCTGTAGCTAGCATATCCTTTCTTAATAGGGATGTAGAAGCCTATGTAGACAACATGTTTAGCAAAACCACATTTAGAAAGGCATACAATTACAGAATTGATCCCATGAATAGCAGTGACATGTGGCCAGAGACAAACTATACTCCACCATTGCCTCCTATTAATAGAAGGATGCCTGGTAGGCCAACTACTAAGAGGAAGAAATCCACTACAGAGAATACAGGAACAAACATGGTTTCTAAGGCTGGAAAGAAAATCAGATGTAGTATTTGCAAGGAGATAGGTCACAACAAGGCCACTTGTCCATAGAGAAGGCCCCAAAAGTTAAATGTGAAGAAACAGAAGAAACAAAAAGTATGTGTGAACCAAAATGCAGGACAGGTAAAACAATAAAAATATAAGATTAATTACATATAATTTGTTACTAACATAATTATATCATGCCATGTAGGGTAGTACAAGTGAACCACAACAAAATGATGAGGTTGAAATGACTCCAATTGAGATGGATACTACTCAAAATGATATGCAAGTTGCTCCTACTGATGTTGAATCTAGTAGTGCAGGAGATTTTAGTCATTATATGCAATTTACTCCACCTAGATGTTATGAAGGTGATGAGGGTGTTATGGGTGAGGAAGTTGATGTGGTTGAGGAAGCTGTTGTGGTTGAGCAAGTTGTTCAAGATGAGGAGGCTGAGGAGGTTGATCCTGTTATCCAAGTTGATAATGTAAATGTTCAGGAGGTTGATGAGGTTAATCCTAATGCCCAAGTGGATAATGGTAATGTTCAGGAGGTTGCTCCTGTTAACCAAGTTCAGCAGGTTTGTGTTAGGCTAATTTCAGATATTTTGAAAAGGATAAGGAGAAGAAAGTCAGAGAGAATACTGAAGCTGAAATTAGGCAAAACAATTGGTGATGTTGATGATCTAGGAAATTCGAAGGGAAAAGCTCTTGTAATTGATTAGTGTTTATTGTAATTTGTGTTTAAAGTTTATGTAATGGGATGATGGTAAATTGGATTTAAAGTTTATGTTATAGGATGATGGTAATTTATATTTAAAGTTTATGTAATAGGATGTTGGTAATTTATATTTAAGTATGTGTGACATTAAAGGGTATTTTGGTCATTTAAGTATGTATGAAAGAAAAAGGGTAATTTGGTCATTTAAGTATTTATGACAGAAAAGGGTAATTTGGTCATTTATTTATTGATGTAGGTAATTCATTTATGTATGCAAGAAAAGGGTAATTTGGTCATTTAAGTATGTATGACAGAAAAGGGTAATTTGGTCATTCATTTATGTATGTAAGAAAAGGGTAATTTGATCATTTAAGTATGTATGATAGAAAATGGTATGTTGGTCATTTATTTATGTATGCAAGAAAAGGGTATGTTGGTCATTTATTTATGTATGACATGAAGTATGAACGTATGTTACTATTTCAAGTAAAATCATGACATTTGGCTTTGAATATTTATGCATGGAAAAAATTGGAATAATGTGCATGCATGGGGATGTTTTATATGGCCCCGGATTTAGTTTTTTAATGGCTTCACATGTCCCATTTTTTCATTATTAAAATGGTCCCCATACACATAGTGTACTTCCACATGGACTACTTCCTAATTAAATATATTTGTTGGGAATATAGACCATGCATATGTTTGATAAACATCATCTGATTATACAAAATGCCCTATAATTGGGACTTTGAATATTTTTTTACATTACTTATCATATGCCCTTTCATTAGGGACTTACCACCTTACAACATCAACACATTAAGGTTGATAACCCCAACTTATAACTAAAACCAGCTTCAATACATACAAAATGCCCTTATGGAACTGACTTTCTAGTCTGCCTTTACAAAAAATACAAGGGATCCCAAAAAAACAAAAGCTTACACTAACCAACAAAACTAACTACATTGACCCCCCTAACTTCAAAACACATAGGGCCAAGCAAGCAAACAACAGGGAAACTATCATCCTGTACCTGCCTATTGCCTTCCTTGCATCATGAACTTCTTTCTCACTCTTTGCCACCTTATACTGCTCCTGTGACAGCAGAAACTCCACTTCAGCAATCCTTCTCCTCAATTTGTTCATCTTAGACATTTCATCTTTGGCATCCAGTTTCTGCTTCAGAGAGTATAACAGGTTTTTGTAGTACCCGTTTGCATGTTCTTCATCTTTCCATTCAAAGAAGCTACATTTCCTCAACCTAGTTTATAAAAAGCCAATAAAATTAGGGTTTGACTGACAATCACAAATCAACTACCTTTCATGTACCAACGAAATGCGTTTTATTCACAGTGATCGTCAAGAAGCAAATACAATTAGGGTTTTTAATAGATGAAACAAAATACAAATACACCATTATCGTCTTTACATAAAGAAACAACACATCAAACCATAAAATACTAACTTATCAAAATCAAGAAAATCAGGACCTACCATATTGTTTTGACAATTCCAGAATTGCCTCCCAAGGTTTGTTATCTTCCAACATGTTCGTTCTTTAGCTGAAACGCCACAATCACAAACCTTTACCCCTTCTTGCGACTGAACATGAGTGACTTGTAGCTGATTCCTTGACATCTATGAGCTCGAAGACATTCTTCTTTAGGATGGAAATAGTCGGGGAGGGAGAAGTCTTTGACTTTTCAGAGAAGGGTAAGTAAAGATTGAAAGGAGGTCCGAATGAGGGTTTCAATTAATAAGCCTGTATCGACAACTGGACCACGTAAGCTTATTGGACACATCATCGTGCCACATAAGCATTGTAACCGGGAAACCTTCTAAAATGGTGTAATTAAAAGGTCAATTACGAGTTTAATGGTCTAATGTACCAAAAAAAAACTTTAAGGACCAAATTATCCAAATGTTAAAAGTTCCATGTGCTACAGTGACATTAAGCCTATCATTAATAGGGAGTGTAGGCGCTGTTTGAGAAGATTGTGAAGGCTGCTGGACAATATCTTTATGAATTAATATTATCGGATTTTGAGACTCGCATGGATGTGGACCTGCCTGGAACTCCGAACAGGACTTAACTGGAGACCTTATCTGTAATTTTTCATTCACCGAGGATGCAGAATGAGTATAATGCACATTTTCTGCAGATTTATTCCCATTTTTCCCTTCCATGTCTTTAACATCTTTCCTGTGTTTTTTAGATTTACCCCAACCATTATAGCCTGTTGACATTTGATTTCTTCTCTCTTCCTCCTTCATTCTTTCCATTGTTTCATACAGACCAAACGGATCCAACGATTCTTCAGCATTACCATTTGAAGAAGGAGTCCCAGTATCATTATCATTAAAGTCATAAAAATTCCCCCTTTACAGCCTTCAGGTTCAGGTTTCGAAGTATCTGAAACAAAAGAAGGGGTCCACCCCTTGGCCTCTTTAACTCTGATATTAAACAATTTACCATCCACCCTAACCTTTACCATATAAGAGATTATTTGTTGAGAAGTAGTCAATTTACAAACATGATTCTTGTACACATCTTCCTCTACATAATCCTCCATTTGAACAATAGATCCCCACTTAGATAGAATTCTTCTAAATGAGTCCTTACTCCAACAAGACAATGGTAGTCCTTCTATATCAACCCACACTATACGTTCCAATGGCACAAAATTACTATCCCACTCACGCTTCTCTAGTAACCTATGATCCATGACATCAGAATTCACGAAGTTTTCACATGCATGCTTGGATTTAAATTCAATCAATACCCATAAACCTCCAACAAATTTCATATCAAAGTCTTCAAAACCTTCATCTAAACTAAGCATATGTAGATTAGGGAGAGTAAGAAAATCTCTCGCTTTCACCAAACACACCTTCTTATATTTCTTCACAATGAAATCTCCAAAAGATAATTCAATAACCTCCTGTATCTGAGCTTTACTACCATTCACCACACCTGTTCCTTTAACAATACTTGCATAAGAGTTTATAGAAGACGATACCTGTGAATTATAGAGTAACTTCTCACAAAGACATTTAATCATTCGATCTTCATTACGAACGTTAGAAAATCTAACAAAACCAAATCGCCTCCCCATTCTGGACAATTTAGTCGATATAAAAGCATCCACCATTTTCCCCAGACGACCACATACCCGCCACAGATCAACTACTTGTACTGAATCCGGAAAGTTCGTGATAAAGAAGGACGAAATCTCTGAGTTAAGGACATTACCTTTTGCGTGATGTCTTCCATCATGAACCCTAGGACCCCCATGCACGTTCCTCCTTCTATCCCAATCATTATTGCCCTTCTTCAAATTCATAGTAAACACTTCCGGCAAGAATCTCAACCGACGTTTGATCCCACCTGTGAACGCAATTAACAAATAAGTAATTGATGATCATAAATAATTTGTGAACGCAATTAACAAATAAGTAATTGATGATCATAAATAATTTCTAGAAAAAACAAGTACAATAATGATTCATATCTCAATTATGTCTATAAAAAATTGATATAGCTAATATTCAATGGTTAATATGAACCAATGTTAATATGAACCGAATTGTTGTACAATAAACAAGAAAAGGAAAAACAAATTTATATATATATATATATATATATATATATATATATATATATATATATGTGTGTGTGTGTGTGTGTGTGTGTTAATGTGAGACGACCTAATTTTGTGAGACCGTTAGACGTAATCCTATACACTCATTTTGTAGATAAAAAAACATTTTTAAAATGCAAAATAATTGAAATTTTTCCAAACAAAAAAAATTCAAATATTATTTTCGTCAATTATATTTTCCAAAAAAAATAAAAAATAAATACCAAAATTTACAAAAAAAAAATACATTTTTTTACATATTCTAGTAGAATATTAGAATATTTTACATATCTGAGAAATCTAGTAGAATATTCTAACATTCTAAAAATCGTATTAGAATATTTATAGTGTAAAATTCTATTAGAATATTTCACGTATTTTTCAAAAAAACGATAAATTTTTATTTATTTATTTATTATTTATTTTTATTTTAATTTTTTTAGGTAATTAAAGTGACGAAAATAATAATTAAAAAAAAATAATTTTATGATTTTTTCTTTTAAAATTATTTTTAGATTTATTCTCACAAAATTAACATCATCTCAAATGAATCTGAACCTATAATTAAAGTGTAACCCTGCCATTGGTTATGTGGCTCTTCCAGCGGTTGGTATTCGGTCTCTTGCACCCATTGGTTATGTGGCTCCTACTAACATCCATGTTCGATCTGTTGTGTCTATTGGTTGTATGGATGCTGTTGTCATTGATGTTCGGTCTGTTGTGTCCATTGGTTGTCTGGCTGCTGCTGCCATTGTTGTTCGGTACGTTGTGTCCATTGGTTCTTTGGCTCATGATGCCATTGATTTTCGTTTGCTTGCATCGGTTCCTCTTCTGTCGCTTTTGTCCCACTCCCTGAATCCCCAGTACGTTTTTTAGTTTTACTTTGGTTCTTTGGAACGATTTCCTTACACGTCCTTGCATTATGAGTTGTGTTATAGCATCTAGTACACCTTCTTATTTTTGGTTCCTCACCTTGAGATGGAATATGATTGGTGTTTTTTGGTCTACCGGATTGACGTATTTCCATCATAGGAGGGTTAACAACCATAAGGTCATCCGAAACCTCCCCATCACTAAGTCCTGAAAGAGGGTATACGGCCTTCTCGTACGTTCTTCAATATATTTCAATTTTATAAGCATCTATAGCCATATGCCCACAGTGATCGTTTTTCAAGTGCGTTAAAACCATTATCACATGACCACTAGCAAACCAATTAGTTGCCAATATCTACAAGAACAAGTCTTTACCCTCAAATTCACTATGTCGCCGCTTTTGAAGCATGCACTTGATATGTTGTATTGTCAACACCGGATACCAACCATCATTGAATCCCCTCTTTATTTTTTTAACCATATGTTCAGCCCACTTCGTAAGTATTGTTGTACTTTTTTCTGTTAAAACAAACATATATTATTATATATGACATTTATCATATCATTTAAAATTAAACATAATCATACCTGCAGCCATCCGTCGTTTGTAAAACCATTTTTGCATAAGTGCGTGAAAGAACTTAACAATTGGTAATATAGGCAACCTCCTTGCTTTATTTGATATAGCATTCATGGACTCCGCACTATTTGAGGTCATATAATCATACCTCGTGGTAGGAAATACGCTCTGGTCCATTTCTCACGTAGAATTTGACTGAGATATGTCGCTACATCATCTCTTATATTACGAAGTCTCCCCCAATAGAATTCAAACTTAGTGGTTTTGTAAGCTCTTACCAGCTTCCAAAACAAAATTGTTGTTTTTTTGTTTTTTCCAAAGGTGTGGACTATGTTTCCTAATAGATGAAAACCACACAATCCATGTTGAGCATTTGGAAAAACATTTTGAATACTTACAGCAACTGTGGGTGCTCTATCTGTGACCATTGTTAGACCTTCCACATCACCAATACATTCATGTAGTTTTACAAGAAACCATGTCCAAGAATCCGTAGTCTCTTTTTGGCAAATTCCATACCCAATTGGTAAGATATGATTGTTGTCATCCATTGCTACTGCATGCAAGATGGTGCCTTTGTACTTTCCATTCAAATGAGCATCATCCATAATAATAACTTTTCTACAACACTCTCTGAAAGCACGTATCTGCAACAACAATATAAAAACCATTAATATATCAACAATATAATTTGTTTATAAACATTTAAGAAAATAACAAATATATTTAAAAATATATTACAGCGCATCCAATAGCGAAAAAGCAATACTCAAAACGATCATCCGGATCAGTTTTTATGTACGCCACAGTACCAGGATTATGTTTCTTAAGATTGTGAAAATAAATTGGAAGTTTGGAGAAACTTTCTTCGGGGGGGTCCCCATCATCAATCCCAAAGCAAATTCTCTAGCATGCCACGCTTGTGAATAACTCATATTTATTTGTAGCAAAGCATTCACATCTCTAATTATATCATTACACTTCCAAACTCTCAAACTTCCTTAACCCATAATGTTATGTACTATGGTTCCCACAACTTCGTTATTTGCTTGCCTATGATTTGGGTGTGTAAGCAATGAAGAACATGTATGCTCGTCATTAAACGTCTTAATTTCAAACATTTCTATTCCTTTAATGACCCATGCGTATAAACGCCAATGATAGTTTTCTTGCATACAAACAAACTGGTACCAAGATTTTGAAGATTTTTCGACCTTTATCTAAAACTTTTCTCTAACAGCTTTGAATTTAACAGCAAATGCTACCTCTTTTTTGGTGTTATAGGTTTGATTGACTATTAATTTATCATTCGGACCTAAACAGTGAAATGGTCCAGGTTCAAGAATAGGTTCTAGACAATCGGGAATAGAAGGAATACAATACCATGGATTAAAAGCAGTTTTTCGTTGCGTGTACTCATCATCCAACCACCCTGCATTTGATTTTTCATCACAACTTCGATCATTAATTTCAAGAACTTCTCCAAACTGGAACAAATTTTCACGTTGTAATTCAGTCATGCCCACTTTTGGTTCTTTATCATTATCTGATACAAAAGTGTCATTATCAGTAATCAAAACTTTTTTTCATATCCCACTGGCACTTCATTTCCTCTCCCCCTTGAACGGTTGCCATCACATTGGCTTTCTCTACGACCTCTATTAATTTTTTGTTGGATTAAATTTGTTGTTAACCACTGCTTGTTCGTCACCTTCTTTACCTACCACCGTTAAATACAAATGCACCGTTTTCTTTGATTCAGACATTACATGTCTCAATTGAAATACATCAGTTTCATCTGCAAGCTCCATAACATACCCTAACTCCGGGTGTTTAAAAGACAAACATATATGACTATTTAACACACTCGCGTTACTTCTAACCATTTGTAATAACATTTCATTGTCAATGTTAGGAGAAAGATTTAAACCGTAGTTTTTCACATTATTTCTAACGTAAACCTCAACTCCATTAACTAACTGTCATGACCCTCCCGTACACAAAATAATAAAACTCATTTTACAAATCACTCTCCACAATAACAATGAAAAAACAACTTCTACTGGTAATTGGAACTCACAAACTCACAAATAATCACTTGAATACGTCTATAACTTCTATAACTAATCTGCAGAGGTGTACACAGATCCGCAGAGGTGTAAATTGATCCTTAGAGGTGTGCACTGATCCGTAGAGGTGTACACTGATCCACAAAGATGTGCACAGATCCACAGAGCTGTACACTGATCTGCTGAGGTGTACACTGATCCTTAGAGATGTGCACTGATCCGCAAAGGTGTACAGAGATCCGCAGAGCTGTACACTGATCCATAGAGGTGTGTACTGCTCCGCAGAGGTGTACACTAATCCTTACATGGCTAAGTGATGCGTCAAAAAAAAATTAATAAACTATATGCATTGGTTTGTATTACATTATTTATATGTATTTGGTTTGTATTAGTGTATTTAAAAAAATATATATATTACTAAACTAAAATTAACGCAAAAAAAAAAACGAAAAAAAAAATTTGTTAAATTTTTTACATAATAGTCACATAATGTATTAGTGTATTTATAAAAATTAACATTAATAAACTAAAATTAACACAAAAAAATGAAAAAATAAATAAATTAATTAAAAAAAATAACATTCCGCAGAGGTGTAGCAATATCCGCAGAAAATTTAATAGATCTGCAGAGGGTGCTCCGCGGATCCTTCGATCATTTTCTGAAATGTGTTTTTTCTTGGTTATTTTCTTCAAACCACCTACTATTTTTTGTTATTACCCAAATTTTCTCTTGTTTTTATTTGTTATCTGTCGTATTACAAAATTTAAGTACGTTAATCTATTTTTTTCTCTTATGAGTACTTGAGCATTTTACAATAAACCAAAAGGGAAAGTGAGAAAAGATCCATAAAAAGATCCATACTTTTATGCAAAAGAGGGAGTGAGAAAAAAGAGAGATTTGTAATAGGCTTGTGGTTTCTTAAATTGGAAGCATAATATCACAATAACAAAATTTATTATAAAGTTTGAGGCTTTATGGAATGAAATAAATCTTTATTACCATAAAGTGGTGAGCCCCTACAATGGTGGGTGTCACTATGCCATTGTCTTCCATTTATCCCACTAAACTTGCTTTTCATTTATCGTCCATGTTTAACGTTTCTTGTTTTCGTTACCACTCATCAGTTTAGAATTAATGTTATGGCATCCATCTAACCAAATATTGAATATTATAGTTTTCT